TCAGAAGAAATTAAGATTAATTCTGCCCAACTGTTATCAAGTGTCTTAGAGAACATGAAGAGATTTTCTTTGAGTAGTTTGATGAAATGCATTCTTAATAGGGGTTAATTTTATCACTGACAGCCATTTGACCTTTAGGGATACACTTCTGAAAGCTGTTATAAAGACCCACAGCTTCACTAATATGGACTGACAAAGACTGTCTTGAAAGAACTGGTTAAATGTGATAGGGAACATGTAGACTGACTGCAGGTGAGCAATTAATTTGGAAGTCCAGGTGAGGTATTTTGTAGCCATAAATGAAAAAAGATAGATTCTGGAAAATAGCTTTAGAATAAGCATTAGCCTCTAATGGTATGCATTCCTACGTCATCTTTATTTGATTTTGAACAAGAATTTTTATATAATATTCTCTATTTTGTTAGTAGGAGAGATGTTTGAGATTCCCCTGAGCAGGCGAACGTACCTATAAACACAGGTACTGAGATTTAGTCTTTAAGCACTTAACACTTGTTTCTAAGAGGGGCTGTCTATAAGCAGCCTATGTGATTGAGGATAGAGCAGCAGCAGGAAGCGAAAAATTGGAAATTGAGGATCCTGAATTCCCAAATAAGGAAGGTTTCCTGTTCTTATATTTAAATGTGAGTTTGAGCTGAGAATTTACAATGCTTTAGAATAGTAGCTTTTTCATGTTTTACTGAAATCATAAAGATTAGTTTTTTCCTGTCAAAATTGCCTCCTTAACTGATAGAACCTTAGTACAGAGCATTCACAGTAAAATGTATGTTCTGTTTAATACACATTACACTGTAAAGCAGTGAGCAAATCCTGTTAATTTTGTAGTCTAATTAACAGGATTTAACATAAAGCCAATGATGTTATTAGACTACTTGATTATGAAACTGAATTAGATAGTTTAAAAATTATTGAAATGAAAGTCATTAATTAAAACAATGAATCATTGAAGGATGTTTTGTTGTATATAAGGAATCAAAATAGTAAATAATTGGATATTTTTATTGTATTTAAGGAAACAAAATTTGAGATAATTTTCTTCAAAATTAAAATAATTTTTAAAAATACAGTATTAGTTAAAATTTCTCTACATTAGTTTAAAATGTGAACTTTTAAAACCTCACAACTTAGAAATTTAATCATAAATTCTACTCTGAAAGCTGAAATTAAAACACCTTCAAGACCTTTCTGGATAGATATCTGCCCAATATAAGAGTGAGGCATCCTTGGGAGTTTCTTAACATTAGGCCAGTCAGGGTTGGGTGTGGTGGCTCACACCTGTAATTTCAACACTTGGGAGGCCAAGGTGGGCTGATTTTGAGCTCAGGAGCTCGAGACCAGCCTGGGCAACATGGCAAAACTCCATCTCTGCAAAAAATACAAAAAAATTAGCTGGGCATGGTGGTACACATCTGTAGTCCCAACTACTTGGGAAACTGAGGTGAGGGCATCGCTTGAACCTGGGAGGTCAAGGTTGCAGTGAGCTATGATGCGGCTGCACTACAGCCTGGGCGAGAGGGTTAGACCCTGTCCAAAAACAACAAAAAAAATTCTGATGGCTGAGCCTGTGTCAAAGAAAATCATTTTCTGGTGTTAACTAAATTATCTTCAGGAAATTACAGTATATACAGACTGTGGTGATATATGACAGTGGATTTCCTACTACTACTTTTTTTTTCTTGTTTTTCCTTTATGTTTTTGTAATACCAGTGGAACCTTTTCTTAAAATGAAACTTTAGACAAATTTAAGGCAATCATGCTTAAGGAAGAAAAAGAAGGGAACTCTTACTCACAACTCTATTATTTGAAACAGATCAAATTGAATGGCTCAGAGCAGGTATGGTGGCTCTACCTGTAATCTTAACACTTTGGGAGGCTGAGGTAGGAGGATTGTTTGAGCCCAGGAGTTCAAGATGAGCCTGAGCAACATAGTGAGACCCTGTCTCTATGAAAAATGTTAAAAAAACACACACACACACACACACACACAGGTATGGTGATACATGCATGTAGTCCCAGATACTTGGGAGGCTAAACTGGGAGAATCACTTGAGTCCCAGGGGTTCAAACCTGCAGTAAGCTGTGATCAGGTGACTGCATTCCAGCCTGAGCAACAGAGTGAAACCCTATTAAAAAAAAAAAAAAACCTTAAGTAACAGCTTAGATTAAAACCGTCATAATTCAAAATTATAAAAGGAATACTGGGCGCAGTGGTTCATGCCAGTAATCCCTCCAAGACAGGTGGATCGCTTGAACCTGGGAGTCCAAGACTACCCTGGGAACATGGTAAAACCCAATCTCTACGAAAAATACAAAAATTAGCTGGGCAGGGTGGCATGCACCTGTAGTCCCAGCTACTCAGGAGGCTGACCTGGGAGAATCATCTGATTTCAGTCTGGGAGGCGAAGGCTGTGGTGAGCCATGATAGCACCACTGCACTCCAATGTGGGTGACAGAACGAGACCCTGTCTCAAAAAATAAATAAAAATAAAGAAAGAAAAAATTGTAAAGGACAGAATGCAGTTTAGCTGATGTTGACAGAGGAAATTTAATAAAGAAAAAATGAGTTTGCATGATTTAAGAGTTTTTGAAAGGTTTGATGCATCTGATTAAATTTCTTGAACACATGGCTTTCTTTGGATCTTAGTGTCAAAAATCGAAACAGCTAAAATAATAAAGTACTTGGATTTCCTTATATGTCATAAGCTTTGCTAATTCCAATAAAAATTCTTAGGAACTCTTGTCTCTCATGTGTGTATGTATCATATTGTGGTTGTCTTTTGTTAATTAAGTTTTTTGTTACTAAAGCTAGTTGATTACAAGACCTACTTAATATTCAGTATATGCCACACTTTCTTCTAGGAATTATAATTCCCACAAAAACCTTAGAAGTAAGTTCTTTTCTCATTTTCACAAATAAGGTTACTGAGGCACAGAGAGACTAACTTGCTCAAGTTTACACAAACGACAAGATACGAATGTCATACAGTAAATTCACAGCCTGTATATATCTTAGTAGATTTTACCAAAAAGAACAAATTTTCATTTATCACGGTATAATCTTTTTATTAATGTCTCTAAATTTACCTTTAAAATAGGAATAAAAAATATATTTTGAAGTTTTTGTAAAAATAGGAAGCACTAGAAAGTTTTCACTTTTTATTTTATTTGTCTGTATTTCAGAGATAGGATCTCACTCTGTTACCTAGACTGCAATACAGTGATGTGATCATGGCTCACTGCAGCCTCAAACTCCTGGGCTCAAGGGATCCTCCTGCCTTGGCCTCTCAAAGTGTTGGGATTACAGGCATGTGCCACCACGCTCAGCCAGATTTTACTTTTAAATATTTTTGAAAACTGTAAATACAGCATTAATAAATTCTCTAACATAAGAAATCATACAGTGTATGCCATCAGGATAAACAACAATAGTTAATAGTTCTTTGAACTAGACAATGCATTATTAAAAAATATATGAACTTCTTTGTTGCTGAAGCAAAGCTTCTTAAGGTCAAGTTTTCTACAGGGAAAGTAATAGCCTTCTAAATCCATAGTACTTAAAAGTAGGCTGAACTGGCTTTTTCTAGTCTGAACCAATTTAATATAGTAAAGTCACATTTCTTAATTCAGATGTGGTAAAGCTGTTTTCCCACTGAAGTCCGTTTAAAAGAGAAAATGGTAACTCAGCTCATGTTTTGGCTGCTTCTAGAGTGACTTGTGAGCTTTGTGAAAATGTGTAAAATAATCAAGGACCATTCACAAACTGTTCTACCTTTATCTGTATAAGCATATCTTGATACATGATAAAACCCGAAAGGCAAAGATCACGTTTTTTACATAATATATCTAGATTCCATTACTATCTTTCCTCTTTAAGACTTGCTATTAGATTGTTAAAATTCTGTTTTATTTTAGTAACAGTAGGTATTAATAATATCACCTTTTGGTATGCTCTTTGCAGAGTTTTCCCTTCTACCCTAATAGAAAATATACTCCATTTTAGATTCTTTAAATAATGTAAACCCATTCTTATACAAATATTTAATAATTTTATCAGAGAAACTCTTACAGTCGATGCACAGGAATTTTAAAAGGACAGGAAATAAAGCAAGATAATAATGTTGATTTATAATCAGAATGATTTAAGGACCAATTTCCTTAATAAATAACACCTACAACTCAATTTGAAAAAGAGTAGCAACCTAATAAAAACCTAAGCAAAGAACATGAATAGACAGCGTAAAGAAAAGGAACTCTGAATAGTCATTAAAAATAGGAAAATATGCTCAACTTTACTCCTATAAAAGGAAATGTAAACTAAAAAACCCTTATTTATACCATGCTGTTAAGGATGAGGCAGCTCTGAATTACTAATATGAATCAGTCTTAAGTGTATGTGTTAAAAAGATACACATATATGTATATGCAGTGGATATCCACAAAAGGTTATATATAAGAAACCCTCTGGAGTGGCCATCTAGGTGGCTGAGCAGAGGGGTGGAGGAGTACTTCATTTTCTTCATATCTTTTAAATATTTTTATTGCTGGTGCAACTGTCTATTTAATGTAACTAATTTTGGGGAGAAATATTAAGTCACAGAATATTAACATTTGTGAAGGACCTTTCTAAGCCATTTCGAATGGCCTAAGTTTAGCATAGCAGCCAGCTTTACATCACAGAACTGCTGCTGTTAGCCCAACTCATCTTTCACTATACCAGTAGTTCTCAACTGGGCAGCATATCTTAATGGGATTTTAAAAACAGATTCTGTCTTGTTCATCATTGTATTCCAATTATCTAACATACAGGAGGTATTCAGTAAATGTTTGAATGAATGAAACAAATTTAAGATATAAAATATTTTTCTTTCAAAGATAGAGATGAAAATATTTTTCTTTTTTATGGAACATTTATAAGTGTATTTATAATTTTGATCTATTCTAAAGAAGCATTTGTAAGATATAATTTGTTAATCACTTTTCAGACACTGGCTTCATGTCCTATTGACCGAAAACCTTTTCAGGCAGTGTTTAAATTCAGTGCATTGGAAGGTTATGTTAAGGTAAGTCTTAGATTTTATTCTGTAACATTATGCAAAAATTAATTGAAGCTGTTTGACTTTGATAGATTGCCAGTTTGTGTATATTTGAAAATTGTTCAACATAAGGTTTAATATGTGATTTTAATCCTCCTTAGCATGATAAATGTATTCCTTTCAACTAGGATACTTAAATTCTTTTTTTCATTTGCCCCCTAAAGAGGGCATATCCACAATGATTTATCTTATAACACAAAATGTATTAGATCTCTGATGCTCTGAAGGAAGTTTCATACTAAGGCTTAATTACGAAATACTTAACATTTTAGAATATCTTGAATGTGAGGACTTCTTCCTGTATTTCAAACAATTTTTTAATTGGATAGCACTTTGAATACTTGTTTTCCATTGAAAAAATGTTTGAAATGGAGTAGTAGATTCAAAGACTAACTCTCAAAAAACCTTAAGTCCAAAATAACTAAAACTGTTTTCCTGAAAAACATTATAATTTTGAAATTAGCCAATAAAATTAAAGTCTGGTTACCTCATTGATGTTACTTTTGTGAGCCATGATTATGATTTGTGTTTATGTTAACTTTTGGCTTGCCTGAGAAAACAAAGAAAAAAAATATGTGTGAGTTGAGTAAGAGTTAGAAGAAGAAAAGGAGAAGAGTGGTAG